CCGGGCTGGGGATTCGAACCCGCCACCTTAGGTGTACGTGGCTGGCGCCTTAGCCACTTGAGCCACAGGCGCCGAGCCGGGGAGGTATTTTCATATTGTAGGGAAGACTAGATAAGGGCAAGAGATAATGAAGGCAGTAATATTAAGAATAATGAAAAAAAGATTCTGAGTTTATGAATAGTGATTGTCAAGCAGGAATGCATATCAGAATCACCTGGGGGCATTCTTTTAAAAGTTTTTTTGTTTGTTTTGTTTTGAGACAAAGTCTCACTTTGTCACCCTTGGTAGTAGAATGCTTTGGCATCATAGCAACCTCCAGCTCTTGAGCTCAAGTGATCCTCTTGCCTTAACCTCCCAAGTAGCTGGGACTATAAGCACCTGCCGCAACCCCTGGCTATTTTTAGGGGTTGCACTCTTGCTCAGGCTGGTCTCAAACTCCTGAGTTCAAGCAGTCTACCTGCCTCAGCCTCCTGGAGTGCTAGGATTACAGGCATAAGCCACTATACCCGCCTTTAAAAGTTTTACCAAATCTCAACCTGAAATAATCCACTCTGAATCTCCCTTGAGTATGAAGTTCTGGTTATTTGTAGCTTGAAATGTGGGCATATATTCTTTCTTTTTTCTTTGGCTGGGGCTGGGTTTGAACCCGCCACCTCCGGTATATGGGGCTGTTGCCCTACCCCTTTGAGCCACAGGTGCCACCCTGGTAATATAGTCTTTATTTATTTGTTTGTTTGTTTTATTATTTTGAGACAGTCTCACTATGTTACCCATGGTAGAGTGCTGTGGTGTCATAGCTCACAGCAACTTCAAACTCTTGGGCTTAAGAGATGATCTTGCTTAAGCCTCCCCAGTAGTTGAGACAACTAGGCGCCCACCACAATGCCTGCCCAGCTATTTTTGTTGTTGTTTGGCAGGCCTGGACTGGGTTTGAACCCGCCAGCCCCTGTGTATGTGGCTGGTGCCCTAACTGCTGAGCTACAGGCACTGAGCTGGTAATGTACTCTTTGGACTCTCAAGGTTATTTTAGGCTACTTGGATTATTTTAATGTTTTGAGTCTACTTAAAGACTTAGAGAAAGTACCCACAAAGTATTTGTCCATAGTTTTTACATCAGGAGATGGCAGTGGTAAACAGCTTCAGAAGAAATCATAACCTCAATACCTTAAGGCCTTCATCCCTTCTAAAAAAATAAATGAAGTCCAGCTTCTCTTTAATGTTGATAGTTTTGTTTTCTCTTTTCCTCTGAGTTCTTGCCTGTCTTTTCTATCCTGAAAGTCATTTTTGATTCCCTTTCTTACTCTTTCATTTGTCTCTAAGACCATTGATTCTGTCTCCAGATCACAGGTTTGTTAACTTTACTGTTTCCTCCATCACCAGCTCTCATTTCACACATTGACTATCATCAAGTCCTAACTAGGCCTCTGGCTTCCTTCATTCTCTTCTTCCTGTCCATTCTTCACACAACAGCCAGAGTTGTTTCTTTTTTTTTTTTTTTTTTTGAGACAGAGCCTCAAGCTGTCCCCCTGGGCAGAGTGCCGTGGCATTACAGCTCACAGCAACCTCCAACTCCTGGGCTCAAGCGAGTCTCCTGCCTCCGCCTCCCAAGTAGCTGGGACCACAGGCGCCCGCCACAACGCCCGGCTATTTTTTGGTTGCAGCCATCATTGTTGTTTGGCGGGTCCGGGCTGGGGATTCGAACCCGCCACCTTAGGTGTACGTGGCTGGCGCCTTAGCCGGCTGAGCTATAGGCGCCGAGCCCAGAGTTGTTTCTTAAAGGTTGCATCATTTATGCAACTGCAGTGACTTCCATTTTGTACTTGCAGTATAAACTTCTTTCTTTGATCTAAAAGAACTTGTCTTGTGTAGCGCCTGTTCATTTCTGTGATTTCATCTTATGCCGCACCCTTGTACTCCAGTCATATGACCCTCTTTTTCAAGTTGGTTGTTCGGGTTTTTTATTTGTTTGCTCTGTCACCCAAGATAGAGTGCAGGGGTGGTAGTTCACTGCAGGCTCAAACTTCTGGGCTCGTGGTAGTTCACTGCAGGCTCAAACTTCTGGGCTCACGGGGTTGTCCAGGCTCAGCTTCACAAGTAGCTGTGTCTACAGTGTATTTCACCATGCCCAGCTAACTTTTCTATTTTTTGTAGAGATTAGGTCTCACTCTTGCCCAGGCTTATCTCAAACTTCTGGCCTCAAACAATCCTCCTGCTTTACCCTTCCAAAGTGCTAGGATTATAGGCATAAGCCATGATACCTGTCCACTTTTCTAGTTTTTGGTACCACTAAACTTGCCCTTTTTTTGAAGGTTGGGCAAATTTTATAGAATTTATTTCCCAGTTCACAAATGTCATTGTGATGAAGCTTTAGTGAGAACCCTGATACGCCTTGCCCTTTTTTGTCTTTCTTAAACTTTTTTTCTGAGATAATATTCACCTTTTCATTTCTTTCTTTCTATCTTTTTTTTTTTTTTGAGACAGTTTCACTTTATTACTCTCAGTAGAGTGCTGTGGCATCACAGCTTACAGCAACTTCCAACTCCTGGGCTTTGGCGATTCTCATGCCTCAGCCTCCTGAGCAGCTAGGACCACAGGCGCCCACCACAACACCTGGCTGTTTTTT